AACCTGCCGCCTACTCTCTTCACTACTTACCATAGCATATGCCTAGGCAAGAGTTACCTCATCCTTGGCCAGAATATTCTGCCTAATAATGTCAAACTCAGGGTTGAGTCCTGTAAGAAACTCAAAGACCCTGTTTCATTCCACCAACTTCCTAAAAGTTTCTGCATCCTTCGTACTCTCCCATACAACAGTCTCCATAACATCAATTTCCTACCATAGGGATTTCAACATAGAATAGTAGATTGCCACACTCTTCTCCCCCTATCTCAGGTTTTTCACATCACTTTTCAGCTTGTAGGCTCTTGCCACATTCGACTTCTATGAATAGGTTTCCATAACACTATCCCAGATCTCCTTGGCTGAAGACATCCAAAGATAGTGTTGACTTATATAGGGCTGCATAGAGTTGACCAACCATCCTATGACCGTATCGTTCTCCTGCATCCATTTCTCAAATTCAGGGTCTGTCTCTTCGGGTTTCACCTTACTGCCTATGAGATACCCTAATTTTCCTCTACTACAGACATAAATCCGTATAGACTGTGCCCAAGCAAGGTAATTGGTTTCATCTAACTATAGACTGCTTGAACTCACTTCCGTATTGCTCCATTAATCAAACAGAAATCAAAAAACCAGAAATTTGGTCTTTATAAACTTACTTGAAGTCAAAACAGTACCCAGATGCTTGAAAACTAGGGTTTCATTGTGCTCGGCTGTTGGGGAGAAAGAGAGAAGATACAACTGCTCCTACCAAAGCTTCCCAATCTCTTCCAGAACTGAACCACCCTCTTTTAGAAGTCAAAAGACACCTCCCAAGCACTGAGCGCCACACCCAAAACTTCTCCTTTACCTGTAACTTCKAAACTCTCTAATCGGCTAGGGTTTTGGGCAGAAAAAAAAAATACAGCGTCACTTCTTGGCAGTTTTCGGCCAGATTTCAACTCTCCAAACCCTTTACCAACTAGGCAAAAGATCCTTTGAACTATAGAGAACGTATCTCTCCATACACTCTCTTAATCAAAGGGTGTATGGGAAAAGAGAAAAAGAGAAATAAGGAAGAAAGAAACCTGCTCTGATACCAAGATGTGAATCAGTCCTCTAAAACTGATATAAACTTGGTTAAAATTAGAAAGAAAAGAAGAAGAAAAGTAGAGGACAGCAGCACAAAGGAAGAAGATGGGGAAAAGAACAGGAAGAAGAAGAAGAGTTTGATTATCTCCTCTCTCTCCCCTCTCTAATCCTTTTGTTAAACTTCATTTATTAGGATAATTACAAGCATGCCCTTAAGTGGGCGGCCAGCTAGGCAGACACATAAAATAACTTACAAAAAGAAATAACAGGCCCATAAAGATAGGCCCATTAACAAACAAATAGATAAATAACACACTACAAGAATAGATACTAGGGCCCATTCGGGCCGGTCTCTCTACAAGGTTGGAAAGATTTTATAGGAGAGCATTTTGGTAAAACCAAAGGTACAGATGAGTGGAGGTAGGTTATTACAAGGTACCTACAAAATTCCTTTTGGTTTCGTTCAGTGGAGATAAGACTCAAAGGCAAATATATTAGGTGTGATCAAGGAGTGTTTTCTGCAATAGCTCAGTTAGAGGAATAAGGAAGACAAGAAGACAATATCCCATAGCTCTTTTCTGGTCAACAGGGGTTATTTGAATTGAATGAAAGACATTCTGTTATCTATAAAAGAGTAAATAAATAAATAAAGACAAGTAGAAAAAACAAAAATTTGAAGGAATGTAATGAGAGTGGCAGTGCCCAGTTTCTTATTTAAGAGTGTAGAAACCAAGTACAAGGACATAAATGCTCCTGTGTCCAGTACATTAAGTATTACAACACTCCCCCTCTAATGGGGTATATATATCATGCATACCCAACTTGCTACAAAGTTCCAGATGCCACAAGCTGTTTACATTCTTAGTGAATATCTCTGCCAAATGCTTTTGAGAGCTAACAAATGAGAGACAAATCTCCTGTAATGGAGTATATATATCATGCATACCCAACTTACTACAAGGTTCTGCATGCCACAAGCTGCTTACATTCTTAATGAATATGTCTGCAAAAGTGCCAATTGCTCTTGAGAGCTAACAAAAGTGCCAATTGCTTTGTCCTGTCATGCTAAATGGGATTAAAGCAAATGTTAATAGCTGCCTTATTATCATAGTGCTGGAAAAAGGAAACAACTCTTCTAACAAGTTTCTTAGTCAGAAAATTTTAGCTACATCATGGGCCATTGCTCTATATTCCACATCTGTACTTGACCTTGCCACAACAATCAGCTTTTTACTTCTCCATTTGACAAGGTCACCGCCAAAAAACATGTAATATCCAATGGTATATCGCCTATTAACCACTGAAGCCCAAACATCCTCAGCCTCAGGGCTCAAATTTGGCAATGTTAACATGAGAGGATCAACCAAAGTTTCATTTGTTATCAGATGAGCCTTTTCTGTAATCCTGCCTTCAGTGGGTCCTACACAAGACACTTAGTTGTGTCTAATCTCATTCTCAATGCACCCTGTCCTTGTACTTCTGAATTCAAGATTTTTCCTTACCCTTGTTTAGCCGAATGAGAGAACACCCTACCAAAGTTCCTCAGTTTTCTGTCAGACTTCCCCACCAGAGCAAATGTAAGCTCTATCAAAATATCTTAAGTAAACAATACAGTTATTGGCATCACCTCCTTATGACCTGATATTTTTTCCTTACACCCCTCAATGTCTAATTCATCAGAAGAGTCACTAAACTTTTCCTCATCTCATTTATCCTAGCTATTTATCCATACCTTGTCATTTCACATATTTTCTTTCGACATCTAGGTCCAGCCACATGACTTTTAAGTGAGTCATGTGACTTGTTATCTTGGACAAACCCCTATGATCTTCTCAAACTGGTTCTTGTATTAATCTCTGGTTCAACCTGCCTAACCAAATAGTGAGTTTTGGTCAATTTTCCCTCTGCATTATTTGGCATGGACCATAGATCCAATGTTCCAGAAATTACCATCTAATGGACTTCCCTTCTCAATCATCCATGTGTCAGGTTAACAGGCTTCCTGACTACCCCTGTCCCAATGTTATTTTTATGGACCCTTAGATCTAAGATAGGCAGTGAGGATTGAGCATGCTTGTTCAGAAAACATTTTCTAGATGGCCAGTCAAAATTAATCAAGTTAATGTTATCACTACCATGGATGTTTTTTGAACTTCCTAAGGCGATAGATACCATGTCATTGTCTTCAACCTTCAGCAAATGGAGTGCTAACAATTTGTCTACCATACTTTGAACTTCAGACCATCATTCATAGGATGAATTCTAGCATACAGCCTACCACTTTAATGCGGGACATATGAAGGTTGATAAGATTGAGAGAGGTCTCATCCGCCCCAACAAAACCACCAGACAAATCACTATTTGTTTGAAGATGATTGCCGTCGAAAGATTGAAAGGAAAACCCAAGATACCTACAGCAATGGCTGTTGGAAGATTCTAGACCTTCATATTTGCTGCTAGGCATAATCAGGATAGAAACCATCACTGACTGAATGCCAATGCTTCAACATAGAAATTGGTTTTGACACCGCAAACGGTGCCTTACAATTGTCAAATGGCCTAATCCTTACTTCTTCCATGATATCCAATTTTTTTCTTTACCAATGTAGCCACCAGACTCCACTCTAGTTTATTCTTCTTTATTGTAACAATAATGCTATTTTCCCATGATGTTTTTTTCCGTCATCACCACCAATGATGGTGCTCTCCCATAGCCTTCTGAAATGATGGCTTGTTTGCAATTTCCTGTGACAAAATTTGGCTACTTAGATGGATTTCAGGGTGATAATAGAGGATTGTTTCCTTACAACCCAGGTAACAATGTCCCAAAACTTTTTTTTATAAGGAAAACTTTTGCTGCAAATAAAGGGCCAACTGCCCAAATAAAATGGCAGGGAAAAAACAGACCCTAGCCCATAATTCCACTTCCCCTACACATCATACATTGTCTCAAGGATAAATCCTTGAAATCTCTAAAATTGATACCCATACAACAAATTCCTTTTGATGCCACCTATGAGTGCTTGAGCTTCTCATCATTTAGACTAAAAAAATCCTAGTGTTTCTTTCCATCCATAAGTGCCAACAGATAAACAAAAGGAACAAGATTTCATAGAATTTTTCCTCTATTGTTAAAACCACTTGTTGTCATGTTTGGATAAGCCCCACCATGTCAGGAGTGACCCATCGCCAGCCAAACAGCCTGATGAAGTGCCACCAAATAGGCACAGCGAAGCTACAGTAAACGAGAAAATGAGATATAGACTCTAGATCTGCATCACACAACATATCTGACTTTCAAGTCAAATTTGACTATAATCTTAGGCCTATAGTGTATAAGTGTTAAACTCTATTAATTTTGGTACACATTTGGTAGATATGGATTAAAAATTGGGTAAAATCACTTTTCTATACATTAAAAGTTTTAGTATATCTGTTCTTAATTTTTGACAAATTTGTAAACAAACAAAAATAACCTTATGATACAATTCACGATGGTATTTGATTCAGATTTCTCTCTGATTTACGATAAGATAACAATTTTTATAACACTGCTTCATTTACGACCTCTCTTGCATTTGAATCTGCAAATTCATTGAAACGCTATCAAAATAAACCAGCAGAAAATAGTAGAACAGGTCCATGCAAACCAAGATATGGCCTTTGATATTTAGCGAAAAAAGATAACCCTTGATAGAGCAGAAGGGCTAGTTGAGTTCAGCTGGGTCCAAGAAGCATCCTCTATGAATTCATTCTACAATTCAGAAACGTGGACTCAAGAACTATAAAGCACGAAATTCTCTAAGATTTCATGTATAGCCATTACAAAAATTCATGAGAAAGAAAATTGTTCATTAGTACATATGTAGATTATGTATGATCTTCTAATAAAAGTAAAAGAAATGATGGTAGAAGGTATTGACATATACCTCTCAATCTCACTGTAGAGCTGAACTCCGCTTGTTTCGCGAGGTTTCTTGCTGGTATCATCAGTGTAATGGAAAGTTCTATTAGCAACGCTGCTACAACTGGACCGGCGATGGAGACGGATTCTGAGCGAAAAAGGAAGGCGGTGAAAGTCATGGCTTTGATCGCATCGCGATATTCTTACGCATGGAATATGTGGTAGCTTGGACGGGTAGGGGGAAGAAGCAACGGACGGACGTGGAGCCGAAAACCAATTAGCCATAGCTGCCTCCAAAGCACAGCAGTTAGAACTTAGAACACTGCAACTGTAAGACCTTTTTGTTCGTTAGAATCCACCCTCTCTATTTATTATGGAATAAAATGATATAAAAGGCAGTGTTCACTGCTTCCTTCGCTCTTTCTTACGGTACAGTCTCTCTCGAGTCTCGATTGGTCTATTGATCTAGAAGTTTGCTTTTTCGTTGCTAAACCGTCACCAGATGGATCCGGATCATGAAACCAAGCAGAGAATTATTGATGAGGTACGTCAAACTTGGGTCGAGTTTAGGTCGGGTTAAGATCAACTCAGACCCAATTCGAGGTAAAGGTACGTCAAACTTGGGATTTGCCCTTTCCTCCATGGGTACGGGGATGGGAAATTTTCATCCTCGGGGACAGGGCAAGCACTCCCCGCCTCATGGAAACCCCGATCCCCGTCCGTGGGATTCCCACTAATATATGTATATATTTATGTATATATTATATATATATACACATATGTCTATATATTAATATTTTAAAAATATGATTGAATATATTTAAATTTTCTTAATAGATTGTAAATTTTAATTATTTTATCTTTATTTTTTAAATAAAATAAAAAACAAAAACAAAATTATTAATATTATAAAAAATTATGGGGAATGGGGATCTCTGTAGGGATGGGGATAACCTTGTCCTCGTTAGCGAGGATGGGGACGGAGACGGGGATGGGGATTTTCGTGGGACCTGCCCCGCCCCGTTGCCATTACTAACTAAATACCCTATATATTTTGCAGTTTGTATTTTACTAAAACACCCATTTATAGTTTATAGTTTGCAACGATTTATTTAGGAAAATCTCTTAAATTACCTCTAATGTTCACAATTGACACGTCGATAAATATTAATAAAAAAATGAAATATCGAATTAGACCTACACTATTTATCAAATTATCAAAATAAAACAACTGATGGAAAACCCCTGATTTCCATTTTTTTTCTAGAGCAGTTATTCATCCTACGTTGCCAGTAATTGAAAAACCATCACCATCACCATCGCCACCGCCACCGCCACCGCCACCGCCACCGACAACTACTGCTACTATTACGACTCACAAGTTTGTTGATCATCCGACAAGCGGAGGCGGATCGGCCAGTAGCATATCGGAGTACTTGATAAAGATGTTGCCGGGATGGCAAGTCGAGGACTTTCTTGACTCCTATTCTACTCCCTATGGTTTCTGTAAGGTTTGCGCTATGCACCGTTTTTCTTCCCCCTCAAGAAGACCCAATTGGTTAAGAGTTGGGTCTTAACCTCCCTTGTCACAAAGCATCCGCTTTCTGCTTAGATGGAGAAAACAGAGCAGTGGTGGTGGTAATCCTATAGTCATAACCACCAGTGGTGGTGGCGGTTTCACCCACCAATCATGCTGTTGCAACCCCTTCATCTGGTCCATTCTTCCTCCTCCTACAACTGCTATTCTTCCTCCTCCTCCTCCACCACCACTACCTCTATCTTGCTGCATCTCTCTCTTTAGATCGCTCTATTTCTCTAATTTTTCTTGTTATATATATGTCAGAGGGATGGCGAGACGGACAGGGAGGTGACTTAATTCAAAACGAGCTGTAGCAAATGTTTGGTGGTGCATGCAGATATTGGGGTAGGGGATTTGCAGGGAAGGTGCCTTTGCCGTTTCAGTCAGGCGCCTAGTCTGACTAGCGCGCGTACTCTCTTCTAGATAGCTGCAAAGCCGTCAATGTTGGAATGGAGACTCAGACTTTGCTTCCCGTTCGCTGAACAACCCTCCTGTTGCTTAACTAAACCATGCTTCAAAGGGCGAACTCCACCTATTTTTGAGCTATTGAATTAGGCAATCTGAAAATAAATCTCTTTCTCACTCTTTAACTGAAACCATTCTTTTCTCGTGCTCTCACTCTCTCTCACTCAGACCTTTTCTCTGTTCAAAGACAAAAGCAGAGCATCCGCTTTCTGCTCTTGTTATATTCCGACTCCAAATAAGAGCCTAACCCAATTACGGATGTGTCATATTATCAATTATCATGCACCTTTAATTCCTCGTGTAATCCAAAATGGATTTCTTCTTCAGTTGGGGTCTTGATTGGTTACTCTACTAGTAGAATGTTTGTTCGTTACTTGGGCGCATAGGTGAGAGTTTTAATTTCTTGCAAAGTATCTGTTCAGTCATTTGATCCAATTTCTTTATTCTTTTTGAATCTTGAAATGGGTGTGTGAGTTGTATTGCAAGGGTCTCTGAGGCTATTAGCGATTCCACCGGCACTACTGATAGGGGTGTCCATAGTTCGGTTGACCAAATCATGGCCYTTTTTTTGTAAACCAAACTGGTGGTACCGTTTTTTTCATTTTGCCAAACCGAAACCGAATCAGTACCATCAGTTAACTGGTCCACCGGTTTCGGTTTTTGATCAATTCGGTTCTTTGGTTTTTTGGTTTTTTATATTTATAATATATATTATATAAATATATGTATAATATTACATTATAAATAATAAATGATAGATAATATATTATAAATATTTTAAAAATATATAATATATAATATATTTATAAATAGATCATTATAAACTTATAATGAATATATATTTATATATAATACATAGAAAATATGTGACATACATTAAAAATATATATAAAATATACATATAAATATATATCGGTCGGTTCAGCTAATTGTCATTTTTTTTTGTAGGTTAACCGAAAACCAAACCAATCCTTCCGTTTTTCAAAAATTCTGAACCGATCGGTTCAGCTAACCACATTTTATAGTTCAATTTTCTCGGTTTGGTTCGGTTTTTTAGTTTTTCAGTTTTTCATGAACATCCCTAACTGCTGGTTCTTAACGATACGGAAATCACTGCTACCGTTGCAACTTCCAATAGTGATGGTGAACAATAAGGGTATTTTAGGATTTTTAGAATAATTACCACTCACGTGATGTCACATGCAAATAGAGTGTAACGAAAAATTAACAGCAAGGGAGGTTTTATACAATTATCTGAAAACTTAAGGGTAGCTTAAGACAATATGTAAACAATAAGAGTACAGTTTGTCAATTTCATAAACAGTAGGGGTAGTTTAAGAAATTTACCCATTTATTTAATATAACTTCTGTTAGAAAGTGGAAAAAGGAAGATATGTACAAACAGGAGAACCTCGACACCATTGTTTTTCTCTTCTTTATCTTGTTGAAATCAAACATTGTTTGATAGCTATTGATCGCTTTTATTTGCGATGTAAATAGTGGATCAGTGTAATATATATTTCAGTTAGGTTTGTGGCTGTTTGGACTGTAAAAGAACATGAAGATCAGTGTAAAATTTGATTTCGAAAGATGTCAAAACCGAAAGTAACCCCAAATGACAATGTTGATCCCCAGTGGCACTGACAGTGTATTTGCGATGTCAAATGAGGGGAATAGTGGAAGGGCTTCGTACGCCGGTGTTGCATATTTGTGTTTAAGGGTGGTTGTTGCTAGAGAGTGAAAGGTGAAACAGACGGTACTCCATTTTTGAAGGTAGTCTCCTCCACCGCCATCCGGTGGACTAGTCTCTATTCCACTCCACTCTGGTGAAGAGTCATTATTCTCTGTGCGCTGTTACGTACTATGTCTGCTACTGTGTCTACATATGCCGATTAAGTTGGTTTTCTCTTGGCCAGCGAACAAGGACTGTAACTTCTCTGTTAGAAAGCGTTGGGTTTTAATAAGGTTGGAGTTTTGCCTCAACCAATTTATCAAATACGAAGAGTGTTAACTGGGATCAACATCCGGTTTCCATTTTACATTCTCATAAATCCATCCATATTATAATCTTCGGTGTAAATTTGGATTTACACCATATACAAATATAGCCAAAAGTTTTATGAAGTGCTACGGGTGTTTTTGGAATAAACAATCATAAACTTATGCCCTTAAACATTTTCCATTCAACTTAGGTGGTCATATAGCAATTTTCAAACAACAATAGAAGAAAAGGTTGAACAAAAGGCTAAAAGTAAATTGGTTGCAAATTATAGGATGGGGTGTTTTATAAAACAAAAGACTATAAGGTAGGTTTTAATAAATTCATGAAACTATATAAGATTTTTATAATTGAGTTAGGTGTATTTGCACCAATGCGTTTCACTATTGTTCCATTTCACCAAGAAGGGGATGTCATTTCCTTAATTTTTTTAAACATATAAAGCATGTATGGTGGAAATGCATGTTGAATGGGTATTTAAAGTGTTTTATATTAAAGAAAATTGGGTGTTTTTCCTCAATGAGAGAGAGAGAGAGAGCGAAATGTTGTAGTCAAAAGATATAAGTGGTGCGTCCTCCTTAAGGGAATAGAAGTTTTAGGCATTAATTTTTAGAATTATAAGAATCATTTGGTCTGTTTAATACTGAACGATGTACACTTAAATGATAGATATTAACTAGTCTAGCTAGTAATTTGGAAGTATAAGTAATCATTTCTGTTTAATGCTATATATCTGTAAGTTTGTAGAATGTCTTTTAATTTCTTTAATACCAAATGACATACATTTTAACACTTATTTGAAAATCATATAGCACCATATGGTTTGCTGATTGTTAAATGCCTTTAAATATATAAAAACCATTAAAGCACTTGAGTGTTAGTTGTTCATCACTCTAACTAGCAATTTGAAATTGTACAAAATTATTCGAATTATTTTACGTTGGATGACAATAAGTTTGAAATACCATGCAATTTGTTTGATACCGGATGATGTGTTAAAGTACCCACCATTTGATATTAAATAAATCGGACAGTATTTTACAAGCTTATTATCATCCACTACAAAATTGACTGAATAGTTTCTTGCAATTTCATATTACCAATTAGAGTGGTTAATATCTTGTATTCAAATGCTTTGATGGTATTTAAAGCCTCAAGTGCATTTAATAACTAATAGACCATATGATTTCTTATGATTTTTTAGTATGTGCTAGTGTATACACCATCTAATATTAAATAAATCGAATAGTATTTTATAAACTTACCAACATCTGGTACAAAATAGAGCAGATAGTTAATTTCTATCTTACAATTTTATATTACCAATTAGAGTGATTAACATTCCAGTACCTTGATGGTACTTAGAGCCTTAAATACATCTAAAAACTAATAAATCATATTGTTTTTTATGATTCTCGAATATATGTTAGAATGCACATCATTTGGTATCAAACAAACCAGATAGGCATCCGACATAAAATAGACTGGATTCTTTCTTGTAACTTAAAATTACCATTTAGAGTAATTAAAATTCATTATTTAAGTGTTTTGATGGTATTTAGAGATCAAATGGTACTTTACAAATTTATGGGCATTCGATACAAACAGATTGAATGGTTTATTGTAATTTTAAATAACCAATTAGAATGGTTAACATCTAATATTCAAATGCTGTGA